TTGTTTTGGGTAAAATTCCATAATCTAGTCATGATTATTATAATATATATATATATATATATATATAACTGCTCTGTCGTAGTAGGCTCGGTCATATGCGCTCGGCCATACTAGGCTCTGTATCTCGGCCAATTGGGCTCGCTTATAGGCGCTCGGCCATAGTAGGCTCGGTATATAACTTACCATCTGATCAGAGGTTGTCCAATAAGGGCCTGCCTATCGATTATATCTCGATGGTAATGAAAATACTATAATACTGTATATATAGACTTTCTGCTCTCTTGACTGGAAAAAGGAAATACTCAATTGAATATGAAGTCCCGATAAGGAGAATATTGTAACTTACAAAACTAGAAAAATATATGTAAATTCCGGGATATGAATTCTTCTTTATGCTTCGTTATCAAACTCGTGTAATTACGAGATCATGCCAAAATGAAGGAAAATTAACATACCTGGAGTAGGGAAAAATTCGTACGATATTCTTGTAAAAGGTTGCACCATACTCCCTTAGAATCGCAAATATTCCGTTGTTATTACGCAGAGTAATCCCGTATGAATTGCTTTACTAATCTAAGAATAGCCGTTGCTACTGTAACATGAAGTCTTATGTGAGCTTCCAACATCTCCTCCAAAAATGAATTTGATATCAATTGAATATCATTTGTAAAGATGACTAACTTGAAAATCCTTCTACGTTTTCTTTATGGCAAAGTGTAGTTTCCATGTGTTATCTTGATAGATTGCCCAACGACCCCTTAATGCCACCTATCCGAAGGATTAATGAGTCATCAACTTGACCTTGAAGTGTAATGCTTATCCAAATGTGCTTAATTAATCACCCAATAATTCCTTAATTAACTAGGTAATCTCCCATTACTCAATAATTAACCAATTTCCCATATAATAAAGAATTATCTCAAATTACTTAAAATACTACTTATTTTTAATACACCCTTATACATCATACTATTATGGTCATATGGTACCTTGCTCGCCGGTCGTCCTTTCCTTCACTTGACTATAGACAATGTAATACTGTCATCTTTTTTATCTACCGATGTCATCCATGTATCACATCTTACTCATAATGCTTCATTAACTCTCCTCTCATTTCTTACTAACATTTCTGTCTAACACTTTATTTTGAAAATTTCAACAGGACATTCTTTTGCTTTTAGCTCCCCTTGCTCCATCTACTGGCCCTTCGGGTTGCCTAACATTCTTTCTCTACTAGGCACGGGAGCCATACTAAGGTAATATTTATCCCTTCCAGGCTTCTAGTGCTTATCATTGTAGTACTCATATCTAGCTGTACTATTTTTGGGGTGCACCATCGAGGTGTCTCACAAAGAGATACACTACCAAGTTTGCAATTTCCTTCAGAAATGTCAACTAACTCTACCAATCCATCCACTATTTTGGTTTACTCTATCCCCAGCCGGATTTGGATAACTCGTCCTTCTCTTAAACTATGTCTGTTAGCTCTCATAGGGCATAACTGAGATCGGTGTGGCCGATTGTACATACATCTGTCAGTGTTGCAGATAACTCAAAATGCTTATATCTCCTTCCCTGAATGGTAAATAATGATAATCTTTATTAACTGGGTACCTCGTATCCATCTTCATCTTGCTTCTTTGACTTTTTGAAACTTGTATTTATCTTCTGAATCTCTCATTATCTTTCACCATAAAGGTGGATAAATATTCTTGCCTCAAGGTTCCTTATCAAGAGGCTTACACGTCTTAGTATACACATGATCTGCTGAATACCTCATATTTATCCATCATAAGCATGATGCAAAAATTGAGTTCCTCTGACTTAACTCTTCCACATCTATATCTCTTACCAAACGTCTTTTTGGATGTGGGCATCATTGTATTACGAATAAGATAGAGTTTAGGAAATTGAGTTCTTACAACTGAGTTCTACCACACGATCTAGAATAAGAAGAAAGAGTGACAGTCCTGAATGCCCTGTAGCCTCCTTCTTATAAGTCTGGTGCATGACACACCCATAAACAAGACTCTACTAGACATGACTTGTAGCCTTCCTAGGACAGAACTGCTCTGATACCACTTTTGTCACGACCCAAATCGATGGGCCGTGACGGGCACCCGATACCTTACTCGATCGAGTACCAACGTAACGTATCTTTCTTATTACTTCATCATATACACGTGACATACGGGTGTAATAGGCCAATATGATCATTTATAAACTCAAAACATAGGCCGACAAGGCCGTACAATCTTTCACGTACACGACATATGTCTACAAGCCTCTAAGAGTACATAATTGTCATAAAGGTCAGGACAGAGCACATCTAAATCATACTGACCAAACAAGCAACTCCGCAGCAAATGAAGTGCACTAATATCTTCTGTTGAGCTGATCACCTACTTGGAGGACTCCCGACCTGTCTATCGAGACCTGCGGGCATGAAACGCAGCGTCCCCAGGAAAATAGGACGTCAATACAAAATAATGTACCGAGTATGTAAGGCACTATACTGAAAGCTAAAACTGAACTGATAATATAATAACTGAAAGCAACTGGGGGTCACTGATAATCTGAAGATATGCTTACCTGCTGATACTGACTCAACTCTCTCAATATAGTAAGTAAAATAGTTATCCGGCCTTATAAGACTCGGTATATATATATATATATATATATATATATATAACTGCTTTGTCGTAGTAGTATCGCTCATAGGCACTCGGCCATACTAGGCTCTGTATCTCGGCCAACTGGGCTCGCTCATAGATGCTCGGCCACAGTAGACTCGGTATATAACTTACCATCTGATCAGAGGTTGCCCAATAGGGGCCTACCTATCGATTATATCTCGATGGTAATGAAAGTACTGTAATACTGTATATAGAGACTTTATGCTCTCTTGACAGGAAAAAGGAAATACTCAATTGAATATGAAGTCCCGATAAGGAGAATATTGTAACTTACAAAACTAGAAAAATATACGTAAATTCCGGGATATGAATTCTTCTTTATGCTTCGTTATCAAACTCGTGTAATTACGAGATCATGCCAAAATGAAGGAAAATCTTAGCCTTAACATACCTGGAGTAGGGACAAATTCGTACGATATTCTTGTAAAAGGTTGCACCATACTCCCTTAGAATCGCAAATATTCCGTTGTTATTACGCAGTGTAATTCCGTATGAATTGCTTTACTAATCTAAGAATAGCCGTTGCTACTGTAACATGAAGTCTTATGTGAGCTTCCAACATCTCCTCCAAAAATGAATTTGATATCAATTGAATATCATTTGTAAAGATGACTAACTTGAAATTCCTTCTACGTTTTTTTATGGCAAAGTGTAGTTTCCATGTGTTATCTTGATAGATTGCCCAACGACCCCTTAATGCCACCTATCCTAAGGACTACTGAATCATCAACTTGACCTTAATTTGCTGCCACCTTGAAGTGTAATACTTATCCAAATGTGCTTAATTAATCACCCAATAATTCCTTAATTAACTAGGTAATCTCCCATTACTCAATAATTAACCAATTTCCCATATAATAAAGAATTATCTCAAATTACTTAAAATAGTACTTACTTTTAATAAACCCTTATACATCATACTATTATGGTCATATGGTACCTTGTATGGCACTAGTCCATAAATACGGGGTATTATAGCTTGGACCGTATTTTATCCCAAATTACCAAACTTCGACGAAACTCATTTTCTTCTATTTGCTTACCTTCTCTCCTTTACGAATTTACTCATCACGTGTTTGAAATAGCATAATGCTTATAATCCCAAAATAATCTAATTCCCGGACTTACGTCGATTATCTTACGTCGAAATTTTAACATGCGAAAATGCGGGATGTAACAAAATATATGATCAAATTAGGGAATCTCAGGTAGAACCACTTTGATGCTCACAATTCTTTGTTTAAAATGTTTTGCTTAGTCAACAATCCAGCATATAAGGAAGATATACAAGTAAATTAGGTAAACAGTCAAGAAACTTACAAGTAAGGATGAAATGCAATAACCAAATATCAGTCTGTTACGGCGCTCAAGCCGATCCAATAACAATAAGCCAATAAGGTATGTTGCGGCATGCAACCTGATCCAAATACAGTAAACAGCTCTCCCAGAGCTCACATCAACCAGAAACCCGTCGGTCTCTCAAAATCTGCATGTACACTATCAAGAGAGAAACATGAGAGGGTGACCCTAGGGAGATGGATCCTTATCCACACGCAAGCACGACCAATTTAACGTGCTACCAGCCCGGCGTGGTCACAAGCTCAATATCATAATTCGCCCGGTGTGATCACAGGCTCAATGTGATGGATCTGCCCGGTGTGGTCATATGCTAACAATCTGCCTGGCGTGGTCATACGCATATCATCACAATCCACCCGGAGTGGTCACTGGCATAACAAGACAATCTGCGCGGCGTGGTCACATGCATAACAACACAATTCACCCTGCGTAGTCACATGCATAACAACATAATCCGCTCGGTGTGATCACAGGCATCCAATCCAATAATATCACACAGGAGCAAATATATAAGAATACATGTATGAGATGAATGAATAACAAATCGCATGCTCCTGGACTAGTATAAATGACATGCTAAAGTGTAGCATGTGGAAAGTGTCTATTATAGCTCAAATCGATAATTTCATCACAGAATAGCTTTTATGAAGTTCATTCAGGGATTAAACCTCTAGTAGCCTCAAACATGGCTCAAAACGTTCATACAATATTACAAATATGAGAAACATCATAGCTTAAAGCTTAACAGTCAATTCTAGGCTTATCATAACCTAAGCACAACCCGAGCATGGATAAATACCCCCCAGTGTTAGCACATGGGCTCAAACCCCGCACATGTGTGCACCCATAGCACGTAGGTATCACAAAAAATTCAGGCAACTAGTGCCTCAATTAAGTTTAGATAAGATACTTACCTTGAACAAGCCAAATCCAATACCGAGCAAGCCAAACAATACTCTAGAAATGCCATCCTGCGCGTATCGACCTCCGAACGGCTCGAAACTAACTAAAAGCAACTCAAATACATCAAATAATGCCTAAGGAAACAATCCTAAATGATAAAGGTTAAATCTTTACACATTTACTCAAAGTCAACCAAAAATTCAAATACGGGCCCGCACCTCGGAACCCAACAAAACTTACAAAATCTGATAACTCATTCAATTATGAGTCTGACCATACTAATTTCACTCAAATCTGACTCCGAATTGATGTTTAAAACTCAAAAATTCACTTTAGGAAAGTTTAGACAAAACCCCCTAATTTCTCTTTTAAAATCACCAATTAATTACCGAAATTGAAGATGGAATCACGGAATAAAATTAATACCGAGTAAAAAAATACTTACCCCAATCCATGTGGTGAAGATCGCCTCCAAAATCGCCCAAATCCGAGCTCCATAGCTCAAAATATGATAAAATGACAAAGACCTTCAAAATAGTGTACTTTAAACACTGCTCTAGAGGTACTCTTCGCGGTCGCTATTCAAAAATTTTCCAGCACACATTTTACCCTTCACGATCGCGGCCATTTCCCCGCGATCGCAATGAACAAATTTCTATTACCCTTCCCAAACCCTTCTCATATAGCCTGTAGTGCATCAGCCTTAACTTTTCATACATAACTCTAAATGAAAGATGATTTGATTTTATGAAAACTACACACAAAGTTCTATAACTTTTGTTTTTGGATTATCTCCAAATTCCTTATAGATTGCAAGATATACGCTTCCAAAATCGGGTCAGTGACAGCAGAATTTTCTTCTACGCGATTGCGAACAGGCTTCCGCGATCGCGATTCAAAGTTCCCCAAACAGCAATTTGCTTTTCGGGAACCTATGAAACTAGAGCTCATGACTAATCAACTAAAAAGTCAAACTCGAGCCCGCACCTCGAAAACCAACAAAACTTACAAAATCTGAATTCCCATTTAATTATGAGTCCAACCATACTAATTTCACTCAAATACTCTGAATTGATGTTCAAAACTCAAAAATTTACTTTAGAAAAGTTTAGACAAAAACTCCAATTTCACTTTTAAAATCACCAATTAATACCAAAATCGAAGATGGAATCACGGAATAAAATCAATACCGAGTAGAAAATACTTACCTCAATCCATGTGGTGAAGATCGCCTCCAATATCGCCCAAATCTGAGCTCCATAGCTCAAAATATGATAAAATCACCAAGACCTTCAAAATAATGTACTTTAAACACTGCTCCAGAGGTACCCTTTGCGATCGCGGCCATTTCTTCACATTCGTGATGAACAAATTTCCATTACCCTTCCCAAACTCTTCTTAGACATCCTATAGTGCATCAGCCATAAATTTTTGTACATAACTCCAAATGACAAATGTTTTAATTTTCTGAAAACTAGACAAAAAGGTCCACAACTTTCATTTTTAGATGATCTCCAAATTCCTTATAGATTGTAAGATATAAGTTTCCAAAGTCGGGTCAGTGATTGCAGAATTTTCTTCTACGTGATCGCGAATAGGCTTCCGCGATGGTGATTCACAGTGCCTCAAAGAGCAATTTTCTCTTTGCGACCGCGACCAAAAGGCCGTGATCGCGATGCACACCCCTGTGGCAAAAAATCAGCAACTAAAAATGGTCTAGAAAATCACCCTGAAACTCACCCGAGCCCCTCGGGATCCCGTTCGAACATACCAACAAGTCCCGAAATATATTACAGACCTACTCGAGGACCCAAATCACACATTATGACATCAAAATCATGAATCGTCGATCAAGATCAATCACTTAAGTTCATAAACTTCAAAGTTCGAACCAAGCGTCCGATTCAAGCTTAACCAATGCGGAATGAATCCAAATTCTTTATAAAACTTCCAAATGACATATCGAACCTAGTCTCACTCCTGGAACAACGATCCAAACCCAATAACATTAAAGTCAACTCCCGGTCAAACTTATGAATATTTCAAGTCTTCAAATTACCAGCTTTCGCCAAATAGTACCGAAACCTTCTAGAAAAACCCAAATGCAAATCCAGGCATACACCGAAGTTTAAAATCACCATCCGGACCTAATGAAACCATCAAATACATAAAAGTCAAACTTGATCAACTCTTGCAACTTTAAGCTTCAAACATGAAATTCATTCTTCCAAACTAATTCCGAATCACTTGAAAATCGAAATCGAAGATACATACAAGTTATAATATATCATATGGAGCTACTCATGCTATCAAACTACCGAGCAAAGTGCAAATGCTCAAAACGACCGGTCAGGTCGTTACAATAATTTCCCTATAATTTGTCTTCAATGGCTATTGAACTTTACCTATCATGATTTAGTTAGTAAAATGCGTATGTATTGTGGTTACTCTTGATGAAAAATCATGTTGAGACTTTATGATTAGCTGAGCTAAACCTTATGTTGACATTATGTATATTACACCAGTATTAGTTAAATGATAGTCATACTACCATGTTAGCTAATCGATTAAGTCATGTTCTTAAGCTTCTCCTGATGTCCTATTTAAATCTCACACCTGTTGTACTGTGCTATTTTGATCCTTATGTCTGTGACATTATGCTACATTGTTTCAGTTCAATAGAATGAGTCTCGCCACAATTTTGTACTTTCATGTTGACCTGTTTGACTCTAGTTGACAGCTTGTTCATGCCACTATGATGAAATGTTTTCTGTGTGTTTCTTATGATAAAGGGATCACATAATAAATCTTGTTGGACTGCTCATATATATATTGATATAATTTGGGATTAGCCCTATAATGAGTGTTAATATTTGCTACCTCATGACTGTTTGAGCTTTTTAGTAGTGGCTACTTGAAACCTTTGTTATTGTGTTGGTTGAATGACTCTTATTGACCCATATACTTATGCTCGCATATGTCATGTTGACCCTATTAAACAAATTGTGTTCAGGGACAATTATATGACCTTAGTCTGATTATACTTGAATCACTGTGTTAACCTACTAAGACTTTATACCTGCAGTAATCTTGACCTTTCTATGATATTGTATTGGCTTGAGTTCAGTGAGTAATTCTCATTAAGATACCTCTTCATAATGCTCGTGATGACTTGTTCTTGCCTAAATAACTCTAGCTGGTAAAGTTGATCATGATACCATGTTATTCTGATTCATGAGTGCCTATCATGACAACTTGTATATAAATCATGTATTGAACCTTGTTGGCATACCCTGCTAGTGAACCTATCTACATATCCAAAATGACAACTTATTGTGATCTAATTAAAAGGGAATATCATTATTTTCTATCTCATGCCTGTTGATACCACTGTTTATAGAGAACTTAATTAGGAATCTGAAGTTGTTTGGATCAAGCGACTTGATAATCTGATAGGCTACATGTTGTCACTACTAGATGTCATGATCATTAGGCTACATAAAAACTAAAAGCTAGCCTCTCATATTCATGTTGTTGTCCATGTTGACCTAGCTGTTTAGTGTGATCTTTGGGGACTCCTATTGATGTTATTGGCATGAGTGTTTAACAAAAAGTCATGTTTGTGTACCAACCTGTTAGAACTACTTTAAAAGCTATTATCTTATTCTGTGACCAGCTCTAGTGATTTGAATCATGCTTAGGAAAGATTCTAAAATTTTTGATCTTTAAGGAGGATAACAGAATGAGTATGCATGTTTATCTTTGACAACCACTGATACCTTAGACTTCTTAACCTAGCATATCTGACCTTAAAATTATAAATGGAACTTAGTTAATTGGCAACATGTAATCAGCCATCTGCCCCTTACAATTGTATCATAGTAATAATACTCTTAGGTATTCTACACCTTAAGACCCTTGATATTATTAGTATTTTAACAGTCAATATGGGATGACCTATCTTTATACTCAGTGCTCTGGTAAAGAGTATTCCAAAGTTGAAATTATGATGGTTCTTGGCTGATTGTGCTCTAATGATGGTTGCAAAGTCTAATGTGGCTATGTGTTCTCAGTTTGTTGAACTTCTGTGTGTCTGAATCTCTGAAAGGTTTATCATGAACCTTTGTATTTAATTATGGCAATGTGAAACTGCTAAAGTTGACACTTTATTTGTATTCAAACCATTAAGGAGGAATACGAGTTAATGATCAAGGGTGTTTAGGTGTGAGGTTGGTTTGTGGTTGAGATACCCCTCCCTAAGTACTGTTCGGGGCCCATGAGACCCTCATAAACTCTAAAATATCAAGGGTCCCACAGGGGAACTTTATCCATAAAATGAGGTTTATCCTAAGCCTTTGATCACATATTTAATTAATCCTCATTAGGTTAACACAAATAAAATTGGCTCTATTGTATTTCAGTCCCCTTTGTTATTATTTACTTGTCATGATTTTATCTTATTGATATCCGCTAATTATCTTCTTTGTTCCTTTTGTATGTATGTTCGATCTGGGCCTGCTGAGTCCATTTGGAGCTCAGGCCCAACATCAAAACTTGGGATACTTCCCCTGTACCTGTTGAGTCTACTTCTGTTGATTTAAATCCCGTTGGTCCTAGTTTGCTTACCAGCCCAATTATTAAAGAGTCCAGCTCTCCATTCCATTATCTTAAATGATAGTTGTTTGTCATTTTCTATTCTACGTGCATATCTTTGGAAGAACTAACTTTATTATTGCATACTTTTAATATCTTAATAGGCAAACCAAGACCTATAGGTAAAAAAGTTTATTACTGAACTCAATGTTTCTGTTATTCTAATGTTTCGAGAATTAACATTTAAAACTAACCTTTCTAATAAATAAGAAGTTTCATTACCACTAATGACTTTCAGCTTTAAGCTCTTTGGCAGATTCGAAAACAAAAAGCAAACCCCCTTTGGAAAATCATCAAATGGATCGCACATAATAAAAGGAACTGTTTCAAAAGATAAGAGCAACCATACAAAGCAGTGCTAACAAGAAACAACAAAGGAATTCGAAAACATAAGGCATTT